TCACCCGTGGGCCCCCCTCCTCCCCCCCCCCCCAAAAAAAACACACACACTAACTGACCACTAATGACGTCACGATTGTCACCAAGGGCGCTCGCTAATTGTTAATTTCTACGCTAGAGAAAAACTTAGCGGTCTTGTTTTTGACTTGTTGTAATTTTAAAATGTGGTCTTGGTTAAAATATGTATTTCTCTACGTGCTGGAAATGAATATCTACAATGTGATTTAAAAAAACAAAAACATTTACATTTATTTGGATCAATAAAGCATCTTATCTTATCTTATTTAATATAATCTTATCGAACCTTATCTTATCATAGGATCAAATTTGAAAGGTAAAATTCTTGTCCCGCCACGGGTGACACTTATCCCAGCTACACTTACTCCAGCTACACTTACCCTAGCTACACTTACCCCAGCTACACTAACCCCAGCTACACTAACCCCAGCTACACTTACCCAAGCTCGACTTACCCCAGCTTGACTTACCCCAGCTACACTACCCTAGCTACACTTAACTCAGCTACACTTACGCCAGCTACACTTACCCCAGCTAAACTTAACCCAGGTACACTTACCCCAGCTACACTTACCCCAGCTACACTTAACCCAGTTACGCCACTGATCTCGGTAATCTCTTCACATAGCAAAGTATAGAACTGTGGTGAGAACAAGAACAATGAAAGGAAAACAAACAACATGTCCTGTTTTCCTAAGAAGGTAAGAAAAGATGAGATAAGATAAGATAAGATATTTTTTATTGATCCGAATAATTGGAAATTTGTTTTTGATCATCGAAGGGGTGAGTTTGAAGGGCTTTCGCCTTTTGAGGGCAGCAGGGATGAATAGATTAAATAGTTAAATGTCAGCTATTAATTGGATCAGTGAACACGTCACCAAATGTTAAACAAAATTGAAATATTGACTCGAACTTAAATTGAAGGATATTGATAATTTGGGACAAAAGGTGGGTGTGGGGCCTACATAAAAGAAAAACCAAAAGTACCCCCGTGGGGCAGTCGTCCCCTTCACACCCCTAGGTACGCCACTAGACAGGAATGTTGCCAAGGGGCTTGTTCATGTCTTAATACGGCTCTACACATGTGGATTTCTTTCAGGACTTGGCGCCACTTCATTTGACACTTTTTATTTACATGATCAAATTACACTCACTTAAGAACTGCAATCTTAGACTACCTGTATATATAATTATACAAATCTGTACCAGAGCCGTTCTGAGGAGTTGGGGGCCCTAAGCATGGAGCGTAGGTTGGGGGCCCCGGAAGAGGGGGGGGTCCGGGGGTGGAGCTCCCTCGAGCTGAAGAGAAAACACCACCCACCACTGTGGTACCGCCATTCTGCCGATTTCCTGTCTGCCACCCCCAAAGCTCCCCCCTGCTGCTTCCCTTCCCCTGCCTCCGAATTCAACTCAGAATGATGAATTTCAGGATGAGGAAGGTAACATGAGTGACACAGAGGCTGCAGTGCCAGTTTTAAAAAAAACGGGTGATCGAGGGTGCCTCATGGGGGCCCCTTCACGTTCGGGGCCCTACGCGAATGCGTAGTCAGCGTATGCCTAAGAACGGGCCTGTCTGTACACAAATATATACTTGAGTGTCAATTTCATTTTCAGCCCGCAGAAATCTTCAAATTGTTTTATCCTTACGAGGAGATTTGGAGATTTAGTCCCACAACAGTTTTTTTAAAATTTTGTACCCCCTCCCGCTTTTTTTTTTTAACGTCATACTTTTTTTTTTTACTTATAAAAATTTACATTTCTGGGTGAGTGTCTGCCACGGGAGACGAACACTTGCCACACGCAGACTGCAGGCCATGATCTGGAGAGGACTATGAAGGATAACTGCACAATTCATAGTATTTGGGGTGATGCTTGAAAGCAATGCCCAGGAAGTAGGGACTACAGATAAACATATGGTGGTAAACTCACATCCATCTATAGGACACTGAAACTGGGGTTATTACTTCCCCTGTCTACCAGAGCTATCGTTCTTAACTGGCGAGTACAAAGAACTACAAAGAAATACAAAGATGGCTTCGCACTTTGTGAAAGCAGCAGCTTAACAATCATTTGAAACCTTAGCAATTGCAATTATTAATGAAAATCCTTTCACTTTCATTCGGACACTATCTGTTACCCTGTGTTATAGAGAGCTTGTTGACATAGTTTTTTCTCGTGGGTACCCTATGATTGACCCCACCTGAGACGCTGTGTTCACAGAGGGGTGTGGCTTAATCGTTTAACCTGTCGTGTTTATGCCGCCAACCATTAAAAATAATTAATCTGTTCCAAATAGTATTTTGTAGAATGAATATGATTGTTCTAGAAACGTCATAAGTCTTCTGGAAGGCAGGGCTTACACGATTTATTTAAGGGATTGACAGGCACGGACTGAGGGACGGAGATTCAGATAGATTTTATTAACTTTACGAGGCGTATTTTATTCTTTGTGTATTTGTGTGCTCATATGTGTTTATTTCGCATTATTTAGTGGCACATTATTTCTAACTGTGTTAACTGTGTACCGGTACAAGATCTAACATACTGTAAGTTGAAGATTGTAATTATATTTTTCTTTTCTTTTGTAATTATCTTAAGACTTAATAAATCTTATTAATTGTAACTGGCAACTGTTTTGGGTGTCGTATCTTTAATATTGTTGCCTCTATGATATCGTCCTTTGTTAGGCACTGTTTGCAAAGATCCAATTCAAATTAAAATAGGGGATTAATTTCTCCCAATATAAGTCAGTGCTTAACACCCTGGAAAATTTTATCCCAACTTTATTGGTTTAAGAATGACGTTGTTAAATGTATCAATTATTTATCGATATGGAGGTTAATCCTTTTAATGGTTAAAATGATAATGAATAAAATGTCTTTAATAAAAAAAAATTCTTAAGTAATTTGTCTTTAGTAACATGTCTTTAGTAATATGTCTTTAATGAAATGTCTTTAGTATTAAGTTTTTAATACTATGGCTTTAGTAAGGTCTTTCATAAATTGTCTTTAGTAATATGTCTTTAATAATATATCTTAATTAACTAAAATGTCTTTAGCAATATGTCTTTAAAATTGTCTCTAGTAATATATATTTCAATAAAATATCTCGAGAAATATGTCTTTATTAAAATGTCTTTAGTAACATGTCTTTTATAAAATGTCTTGAGTAATATGTCTTTATTAAAAGGTCTAGTAATATGTCTTAAATAAAAAGTCTATCATGAGGTCTACTTGTACTAGTCAATCTCTTTCTGATTCTTAGTTAATTAGGAAGACCTGTGCCGTGAATATTATAATACTAGATCTATCCAATAGAAAAAAAAAATCAAATTTAAAAAAAGAAAAAGATTTATTTATTAAAGTTGTTCGTAAGCAAAGTTAGAACATGTATCATCTAAAAGTAAACTTATCAAATCCATGTACTGCAATATGAGTTTCAGACATAAATTCAAGCAAATGGTTAGGTGAGCGCGTACTTTCAATTTACAATGAACGTGCAAAAACCTTATGAGAGAAACTTATTTCAAATGAAAGCTTAGACCAGTGGTTCTCAACCTTTCTAGTGCCGCGACCCCTTAATACAGTTTCTCGTGTCATGCAACCCCCCAGCCACACAATTATTTTCGTTGCTACTTCATAGCTGTAAGGATATATGTTTTCAGATGGTCTTAGGCGATCCCTGGAAAACGGTCCCGCGACCCCCAAAGGGGTCGCGACCCACAGGTTGAGAACCGCTGGCTTAGACAATGCGATGTAAGCAGCAATCCATCAGATCGTATTAAAATACGTGTAAACACAATGAATTCATTACAGTTGAACTAATCGCCTGTCACACTCGCATGCCATGTTCTCAGTTAATCTTTTATTACCCAATAAGGTTACTGAAGTAGATTCCATTAATAATAAGTTTAAACAAAGAATTTTAAAAAGCCATTACGCATAAATACGCAAAACAATAGCACAGAGATTAATAAACACGCAAACCAATGGCACAGAGATTAATAAAAACGCAAACCAATGGCACAGAGATTAACAAACACGCAAACCAATGGCACAGAGATTAATAAACACGCAAACCAATGGCACAGAGATTAACAAACACGCAAACCAATAGCACAGAGATTAATAAACACGCAAACCAATGGCACAGAGATTAATAAACACGCAAACCAATGGCACAGAGATTAATAAACACGCAAACCAATAGCACAGAGGTTAATAAACACGCAAACCAATGGCACAGAGATTAATAAACACGCAAACCAATAGCACAGAGATTAATAAACACGCAAACCAATGGCACAGAGAATAATAAACACGCAAACCAATGGCACAGAGATTAATAAACACGCAAACCAATAGCACAGAGATTAATAAACACGCAAACCAATGGCACAGAGATTAATAAACACGCAAACCAATAGCACAGAGATTAATAAACACGCAAACCAATAGCACAGAGATTAATAAACACGCAAACCAATGGCACAGAGATTAATAAACACGCAAACCAATAGCACAGAGATTAATAAACACGCAAACCAATGGCACAGAGATAAATAAACACGCAAACCAATGGCACAGAAATTAATAAACACGCAAACCAATGGCACAGAGATTAATAAACACGCAAACCAATAGCACAGATATTAATAAAGACGCAAACCAATGGCACAGAGATTAATAAACACGCAAACCAATCGCACAGAGATTAATAAACACGTAAACCAATAGCACAGAGATTAATAAACACGCAAACCAATAGCACAGAGATTAATAAACACGCAAACCAATTGCACAGAGATTAATAAACACGCAAACCAATGGCACAGAGATTAATAAACACGCAAACCAATAGCACAGAGATTAATAAACACGCAAACCAGTAGCACAGAGATTAATAAACACGCAAACCAATGGCACAGAGATTAATAAACACGCAAACCAATAGCACAGAGATTAATAAACACGCAAACCAATGGCACAGAGATTAATAAACACGCAAACCAATAGCACAGAGATTAATAAACACGCAAACCAATAGCACAGAGATTAATAAACACGCAAACCAATAGCACAGAGATTAATAAACACGCAAACCAATAGCACAGAGATTAATAAACAGGCAAACCATTATTACAGAGATTAATAAACACGCAAACCGATAGCACAGAGATTAATAAACACAAAAACAATTAGCACACCGATTAAACAAGGTCAACATCAAATTAAACACCCCAACTCTGTCATATCTATAACTAAATAAAATTAAAGTTAAAAAAAAATTCAACCTCAAAGTAACGGCGTCAAGTGACATAACTCTTTTGGACCATAAATTTAGATATTTCTTGGGAATCGACCAAAATGTTCCATCGCAGGCCACTATTTTGCCCCTGCAGAATCAGTTGAATTTCTCAAAATCGATCAGCTTCGGTGAATCCAGCTCGGTTAGATATTGTTCACTCAACAACAGCAAAACATTAGTGAAGAAAAAAGAAATTCAACACCGTATTTGATATTCTAAACGTCACGTTGAATTAAAGTAATCCGGATGGTCTGCAAATCTTTTGATGTCGATGAATCGTGAGCTGGGGACGGTGAATTTGTAAAGATGTTCATTGAAGAGTTTCCCTGTGATTATACTAAGGCAGGATTGGTCGAATCTGTGGGGAAAAAAAAAAAAAAAAAAAAACAAATATTTTTTTAAACAGACTTCCGCATCTTGCTGTTATCATATTCTATTTTTTGTATACTAGCCAATTTACCCGGCGTTTCTTGAGTTGGAATTTAGAAAAAAAAAGAAGAAATCTTATCAGCATACACGTAAACCTTGGGCCCTTTCGAAAACACTAAGCTCTATTATCAATAAAACTTTTTTAAAAAAATTGTGCCCCCATACGAAATCGAGATTATAAAAACTCTTGTAAACATTGACTTTGGGTCCCATCCCCATGAAGGTTAATATTCAAGCTCGGCCAAGTAAAAAAAAAAAAAAAAGAACCTACATGATTTAAAGACTTATTGGACTTTTAAAATGTATTCACTTGTGCCAAATAAATAGATTTTAATCAATGAAAATAAAAGAGGATCTCTGAAATGGGGCATTTTATTTATACCTAAAGTAGGCATTAAAACAGTGATTCCCAAACTTTCGTCATCTGTGTACCCCTGTCTATAATTTTCGTAACACTGTGTACCCCTCGTAAAAAAAAATATTTGCATATACTTTTAAAAAAATATTTTCCTTTGCAGTGCGTACCCCCAACCAAACTCTTCCTGTACCCTCAGGGGTAAGCGTACCACACTTTGAGAAGCATTGTATTAAAACATAATAAAGAGCTAAATGAAGTCATGTAACTTATTGTATCCAGGACGACTTATTTTTTTTAAAAATAAAATTTAACACAAAACTATACCCTCGTTGGCTTTAAAATGCATTTAAAACATATCATTTAAAACACATCGTTTAAAACATATCATTTAAACACATCCATGTATGACTACATCAGCTAATACGATAGCACCGTACCTGTGGCACCTGTGATCCTTCAATGTTTTAGGACATCCTATCACCACCTTAGGAAACACCGGGCACATACAGGACGCCTCTAGTGCACACCTGGCCCATGGCTTCAGGATGGTGTCAACAGCAAAAGCCTCCGGCTTGAACAGTGAAAATCCCGAGTGGAGTTCGGGAAACCCCGAAAATGCACACGGTTTTTCTTCGAAGTAATCAAAAGTCTGATGGACGAGAAATCAATGACATTAAAGTTGTGTATTGGCATTAAACGATTAATGATGATCAAGTGAAGTAATGATGTGAACGTAGATTATAATCAAACATTAAGTTAATTAATGTCATCAGCGTTGATAAACGGTTATCAAATACCTTAATCAAATATGAGTGGATTATATAGAAAAACAACAACAAATTAAAAAAAAATAATGACAATGATAAGAGAACAACAGATAGATGAAGCCATTACACTTAGAAACCAGACTTTTGAAAAAGTAAATCACTTCACATGCATAGGATCTTTATTAAACGAAAGAAACAGATCACTAACAGAAATAAAAGAAAGAATATCAGCCGGAAACAGGACATACTTTGGTAGTCAGAAAATACTAAAAACTAAAAACATTACAATAGAAACAAAGACAAATATTTATAAAACTGTAAGCGGATGAGTTGTAACATACGCATGTGAAACTTGGACCCTGACAAAATAAAAAAAAACAACAACAAATAAACGGCAGAGAACCTCTTAATCACATGAGAGAGAAAAGTTCTCCGACAAATATTTGGACCAACAAATGATGAATATCCACGGAGACTAGGAACCAACCAGGAATTTTACAGTCTATATCTGTATCCCAGACTACCAGAAAAAAGGGTTGGCTACTCTGGGCAGGACACCAAATTATTAGCTTATTGTTATTTTACGTGGTTTTATATAGCGTGGTAGCCTAGGGCTGGGCTCACCACGCTGTACATACAATTTAACAAACATAATAAAATCTGAAATAATTAATTGACATTAATTAAATAAAACAAAACAAATGTATATATAAGACTATTTCCATCTCAAGCCATGGACGACACTCAGTCAAGCCATGGACGACACTCAGTCAAGCCATGGACGACACTCAGTCAAGCCATGGACGACACTCAGTCAAGCCATGGACGACACTCAGTCAACCATGGACGACACTCAGTCAAGCCATGGACGACACTCAGTCAAGCCATGGACGACACTCTGTCAAGCCATGGACGACACTCAGTCAAGCCATGGACGGCACTCAGTCAAGCCATAGACGACACTCAGTCAAGCCATGGACGACACTCAGTCAAGCCATGGACGACACTCAGTCAAGCCATGGACGACACTCAGTCAAGCCATGGACGACACTCAGTCAAGCCATGGACGACACTCAGTACCATCGTTTTACGGTCAGAGGTGGGAATCAGTCAGGATAGTAGAGATTAAATAGATGTGTAATGAGTGCAGTTTTGAAGGTTGTGATGGTCGGTATATTGCGGATGTGTAATGGAAGAGAATTCCATTGTTTGGGTGCACAGAAAGAGAACGATCGTTCACCGTATGTTTTTGTGCGAGTCTTGGGGACAGAAAGAATACGCGCGTCTGTGGAGGAGCAAAGCTGTTGAAGGAGTGAATAGACAGAGAGAAGTTCGGTTAGATAGGAAGGGGAGGAATTCGAGAAAAAGTTGTGGCAGAGAACAGATAGTTTGTAGTCAATACGTGCTTGTACAGGAAGCAAATGATGTGAATGAAGTAGTGGTGTGATGTGATCACGTTTTTTTGCCTTTAGAATTAGCCTAGCGGCTGAGTTTTGAACCTTTTGTAATTTTTCTAAGAAATGTTTTGGTGAACCTGATAGAGGAGAATTACAATAGTCAAGACAAGAGAGAACAAGAGCACAGACTAGGGTTTTTGTTGCATCAACTATAAAATATTGGTGGATGGAGCTTATCTGACGAATGGCGGTGTATGAGAGATATGATTATTGAAAGACATAGTGTTAGACAGTATATAACCAAGATCCCAAGCGGAATGACAGAGGAGTGAAGAGGGGGGGGGGCATCACCAAAATCCCAGAGGAAAACGCCTCAAAGGCAGACCGAGGCTTTGTTGGTTGGATGTGGAAAAAGATTTACAACAGCTGGGGATCCAAGCATGGAAAAGAAAAGCATTAGTTAGGTCTGAGTGGAAGGAAGTGGTGAGGCATGCCAAAGCCGTGAATGAGCTGTAGCACCACAGGGATGGATGGTCTGAGTGGAAGGAAGTAGTAAGGCAGGCCAAAGCCGTGAATGAGCTGTAGCGCCACAGGGATGGATGGTCTGAGTGGAAGGAAGTGGTGAGGCAGGTCAAATCCCTACATGGGCGTAGCGCCACAGGGGTGGATTGATGGATGGATGGATGGATTATATACAAAATAATGATTCTATTTTCTGTTTTTTAAAGATTACTTTAAAATTAAAAATTCGCATGTGTTTTTAATTTCACGTGACTTACTGCTTAGAGAAGAGCAGCGCGGATAAAAATGAATGAAAATTATTAAAAAGCCACAGCGTTAACCTCTGACCTTTTCTAATGTTTGCATGGTGATCCTCACCGACCTCGGATTACGCAGCAGCTGCAGGCCCACGTCCTGTGCACGGCGGATGAGCTCCGAGCCTGACCGCAGCCAGCGGATGGAGCTGTCTTGGTAGATGAGGACTTTGCGCACCCTCTGAAGAGCCGCCTGCAAAATATACAGGGTGGGCCAATAAAAGTGAGACCATCTCGTAGCGTAATATTTTAGATATAGATAGAGATATATTTTAGATGGAGATTAAGACGAGGATGATTTGGACAAATGGTGAGTTGAGGCAGTCCCAATTATCAAGTTATCTTTATTTTTGATTCCCATTTTAAAGCTGTTATCTTCAGTAAAGTACATTTTAAAAAAAAATAAACAAATTTCAGTGTAGTTTTATTATATATTTCTTTGGATGGAAAACCAGGGGGAAAAAAAGCAAAAACAAAACTCGTTTTAAAACAAAACGTACCAAATATGTCAAGAGTACTGTGGTTCAAATCCCATCAGTGTTGTAAATGACGTACCAAATATGTCAAGAGTACTGTGGTTCAAATCCCATCAGTGTTGTAAATGACGTACCAAATATGTCAACAGTACTGTGGTTCAAATCCCATTAGTGTTGTAAATGACGTACCAAATATGTCAAGAGTACTGTGGTTCAAATCCCATCAGTGTTGTAAATGACGTACCAAATATGTCAAGAGTACTGTGGTTCAAATCCCATCAGTGTTGTAAATGACGTACCAAATATGTCAACAGTACTGTGGTTCAAATCCCATTAGTGTTGTAAATGACGTACCAAATATGTCAACAGTATTGTGGTTCAGATCCCATCAGTGTTGTAAATGACGTACCAAATATGTCAACAGTACTGTGGTTCAAATCCCATCAGTGTTGTAAATGACGTACCAAATATGTCAACAGTACTGTGGTTCAAATCCCATCAGTGTTGTAAATGACGTACCAAATATGTCAACAGTACTGTGGTTCAGATCCCATCAGTGTTGTAAATGACGTACCAAATATGTCAAGAGTACTGTGGTTCAAATCCCATCAGTGTTGTAAATGACGTACCAAATATGTCAACAGTACTGTGGTTCAGATCCCATCAGTGTTGTAAATGACGTACCAAATATGTCAACAGTACTGTGGTTCAGATCCCATCAGTGTTGTAAATGACGTACCAAATATGTCAACAGTACTGTGGTTCAGATCCCATCAGTGTTGTAAATGTAAATATGTATGAAACACTTTTTTCGTTTATTGTTTTTTCTGTTTTTTTTAAATAAAGAAAATACACTTCGTAAATAAGTGTCTGGTAAAAGTTGAGGTGACGGTTTATCACGTGACTTGTGTGAAAGGTTTCACTAACATGATGGCGCCTTTGAAATATTATGTGAACGCAATATAGTTATTGTATAGAGTTAGGATTGCATTCACTTTTGATCACGCTACAATGCTCGATCCACATATTTTTTTTTCCTGATAGGGTTATCCTCATTTTTGACGTCCATATTATCGGCGTCTCCTGTAGAAGAGATTTCCTATTTGTTGCCTATTTGTTGCATATTTGTTGCCTATTTGTTGCCTTTTTGTTGCCTATTTGTTGCCTACTTGTTGCCTATTTGTTGCCCATTCGTTGCCTATTTGTTGCCTATTTTTTGCCTATTTCTTGCCTATTTGATGAAAACGAACAAACTAACGACACATGGCTGAAAAGACACTTACTAGTATAATGAGTGGCTTCCAGCTATAGCAATTCCTGATTGCCGTGTGTCGTGGAAATTTGTGGAAAGGGAAATCTAAAACTTGACAACGGCAATTTTTCTCAGTCTGAAAATAAAATGAAAAAAAAAAAAATCCGCTTATGATTTGATTTACAGGCTAAATAACAGTAAATAACAGTAAATAACAGTAAAAAAAAACAAAACAAATCAACAACACTTTTTCTTCTTTATGTTATTGATATTTATATACATAACAAGGAATAACCAACAAAAACACCTTCGGCTCTCTGAATGGATGGCACTGGCCAACCTCGGATGGTGGCTCAGTTAAGGGGAGGAAAACTCAAGTTCAAGACTCCCGCCACCTTGCGGCTTCAAACTCTTTAATCGCAAAAGGCTAAAGGTAGACAACCCCTAAAATATTATTTTTGGAAAAAGGGGGGGGGGGTAATATAGAGACCCAGAGTTATGACATTGACTCAATGGAAATTCGGGCAACTCCTACGACGCCCATGGAATCACGCCGTATCGTCAATTTTGATGTTCCCCTGGGTTCAACAGCTGTCGGAGAAGCTGACTGGCTACCAGCTTATTCTCCATTTAAAAAAAACACATCTCGCACAGTGAAAATACATAATCGCCCCCCCCCCTTTTCTTTTTTTTTAAAGGTAAAAAAAGCATTGTATACACAACATTCGCCACCAAAAAAAAAATAATAATGAAACATCAATTTTGATGTTCCCCTGGGTTCAACAGCTGTCGGAGAAGCTGACTGGCTACCAGCTTATTCTCCATTTAAAAAAAACACATCTCGCACAGTGAAAATACATAATCGCCCCCCCCCTTTTCTTTTTTTTTAAAGGTAAAAAAAGCATTGTATACACAACATTCGCCACCAAAAAAAAAATAATAATGAAACTCTCACATATGGAACACATACGTACGTATGTGAGTTAGTCAGTAGTGCATAGCTGCACTCGCCAGTGGTTCCTATTGGTGTTAATGAATTTATGTTAGGCAGCTGGAGTGGGTCTAAGTGGGTTACTCGACGAGTGCAAACGTATTCATGATAGAGTATTATCCCCCCCCCCCCAATGCATAAGTGATACGTAGAGTGTGGACGTGGTTTATGAAAACAGGTAGCAGAACATTTCCGAGAGATATTTTTTTTAAAAAAAAGATAGCCCCCAAGTAACAAGGTTCGGGGAAAGGTACTCTTGTCACCGGAAAGGTGAAAGTCCGCTAGACCATTCAGCGAATGGAGGCAAATAGTTTCTGCACTACAGCATCCTGGCTGGCATACCTGGCGCCATCAGGCGTTGTCCAGCATGGACCCGATACGAAGACGGACTGATGTTACAACGGATGAATGGGCAAATAGAGGATGTTCAGTTGGGCATATAGAGGATGTTCAGTTGGGCATATAGATGATGTTCAGTTTCAAGGATATTCGCTGGAGATGTTGTAGGGGGGCCAAATTCAATACCTGGAGAACACGTGCGCTATTCTCATTGACTCAAACACTGACCGGTCGAAAAGATTTCTCACCTTGCAATGACACCACACTGTTAGAATCTGTGTGTTGACCTAGTTTTTTTTTTCTCCTTCATCGCACCGCCATCGATGGGGAACGTTTGTTTATATTTCCAGAATGGTTCTACATTATTAAACATGGAGAGGAGAAATACTTTCTTGCAACTGAATTTCTAGACCAAGGGTGGCCAAACCGCGGCTCGCGTGATATTTTTAGTCTGTGTGTTGACCTAGTTTTTTTTTTTTTTGGTTCATATTGAGCCGTGGCACGCACACTCTCATCCTCCTTTATTCATGTTTCTCACGTTACCCTTTAACCCTCCATCTCCTTCATCCCACCGCCATCGATGGGGAACGTTTGTTTAGATTTCCAGAATGGTTCCACATTATTAAACATAGAGAGGAGAAATACTTTCTCGTGACTGAATTTCTAGACCAAGGGTGGCCAAACCGCGGCTCGCGAGCCACATGGGGCTCTTCTGTGTTCACATTGCGGCTCGTGAACAATTTATGAAATTAAAACTTTTCGTTTGAAATTTATAATATAAAAAATAAATGAAAGTTTAAAAAAAATGTCTCGTGCCAGAAGTAAAATATCCTCAACTTAAGAAAGCTAGTTGCCGACTTATATACATTTTCGGCACAACCTACTGCTGTGAATCTTTGTACTTCACAATGAAGTTCATAAAATGAAAGCATCGAGCAGTAACTAGTAACCAGCATCTGACAGAACTTCTTCGCACCACAACTACTATAGCTACCAACCAGATTTAAAGAAACTTGCCCGTTCAAAGGCTTCTCAGCAGAATCATAACAATTAATGTTCACTATAATTATGAGTAGATATGCAATGTGTTTCTATTCATCAATTTTACATATTTAAATATTTGTTAATTGTGTAACTGTAACGCATATATTTCTTCAATTGTGTAACTGTAACGCATATATTTCTTCAACATACGGTTAGGGTTAAAACAATCGAACTGTTCAAATCATTAAATTCGAATAAAAAGTAATTTTTATAAATAAATCACAAAAGGAATTTTTCATTGCGAGTGGGGTCGTGACCCACAGTGCCTCAATGTGGGGTCGTGACCCACAGTGCCTCAATGTGGGGTCGTGACCCACAGTGCCTCAATGTGGGGTCGTGACCCACAGTGCCTCAATGTGGGGTCGTGACCCACAGTGCCTCAATGCGGCTCTCAACAATTTTTTTTTTAATTTTAAAAAATGGCTCTCAGTCTCAGTCACTACAGGTCTGACCACCCCTGGTCTAGACCGTCCCACACCATGAAGACTGTGGTCGACTGTTACCGGCTGAGACTTTTTTTTAATGAGACTTACCAAGGAAACAAGACAAAGACATCTTTCACATTTTCACCGTGTGTATGGGATTTATATTTGCACCTTTCTAGTATTAGACTTTTTCTCTTCTTGTGTTGTAAGTTACTATGGTTTTTATTTCTGTTTATTTGAATTTTTATTTTTAATCCACTGAATAGTTCATGGAGATTGATTAATGTTATTATCACAAGCTGTGCGACTGTTTTTTTTTTTCCTTTGAATATTCATTCCTGTCCTTTGTGATGTATTTTTTATTGAACGAGTCAAATCTTACTGCAGATTAAATAGATATAACCATGTAACGTGAAATCATATTATATGAATGGCGATATTTTGAAAGAATAAATAAACAGGACAGCTTTTTCTTTCAAATGTGTTCCCCCTTTCAAATCAAACATGGTCAGCCTATCAGATGAAACATGGTCGGCATTTAAGATCAAACACGGTCAGCCTATAGGATCAAATATGGTCAGCATATAATATCAAACATGGTCACCATATAAGATCAAACATGGTCAGCCTATAGGATCAAATATGGTCAGCCTATAGGATCAAACATGGTCAACCTATCAGATAAAACATGGTCAGCCTATAAGATCAAACATGGTCCACATTAGAATGAAACATGGTCCACCTATAGGATCAAATATGGTCTGCATTTAAGATCAAACATGGTCGCCCTGTCGGTTCACTTGATCACTTACGTTTGAGCGAAGAACTGTCCTTAACTATGAATATTTTGTCTTCCTATGAGAGACCTACTTGCAACAAACTACCCTACTGCCCATCATGTCTGAACTCAAATACTCACTAATTTGGAATCCAAAAGGATTTGTGCACGGCCTAGTCGCCACATCCTTGATCAAACGGGCGCAGAGCAGAGGCGTAGCGAAGGTGTTTGGCGCCCGGGGTACAAGATTCGCGCCTGGGGACAAGATCCATTTTAAAGCGCCCCCTTTTCTATTTTTCAACTCTCAAACCCATTATTTTTATCAATAATATAATATCCAAACACATTTTGGCGCCCCTAACTAGCTGGCGCCCGGGAATCTGTCCCCTTTGCCCCCCCCCGCTACGCCTCTGGTGCAGAGTGGTATGTCTCAAAATACTAGGCTCACCATTTTTCTTTGCTCCTCTGTCAGGCCGATGTCGAAGAGGACGAGGCTGACATTCTCTGACTGAGGGATGAAGACGGTGTGCAGGTTGTAAAACATCGACTGCATCTCCTGGTAGTGGTCGTGTGAACTCGCAGATAAGATGATGTAGTCACTGGTCGGCAGCGTCTCGGTCAGGGCCAGGATGGCGTCCACCTGTTCATCGGAGAGGGTCAGTTTGGCGGATGTCGCCAGATCCCATAACCTGAGTTTGGGCGAAGCGTTCAAAGGTCTTGAACAGTTGGACCTGCAAGCTGAAGGGAGTTTGAGGACCTTGTTACTTTTTAAATATTACTGAATGGCAGGAACGATTGACTGACTGAATGAACTTTAAAAATTACAATGCATATCTATATATAGAAATCTATATATAGATAAGTTGCGTTGAATGCTCCCCAGAGCTAAAATCTTAACACTAAGACGTAACTGAGATCTGTAACTTGAACAGCAGCTTTTGACCATGATCACCAGTGGACACACACGAACACTCAAAGGTATATCTTACCCAATCTGTCTCCGTCGGGACGACACGGGCTGGTGAAGTTACCGTTGGTCACGTCACTTGACCTTAAGAGCAACTGCTCTAGCTGACCACTCAGCTCCTCGAAATCTAACGGATATCTCAACAAGTCGTGGGACGATCTCTGTGTAGACGTGACGTTTCTTTCTGGCGTCTCGGAGTCTCCTTTTACAACAACCACCGACGTATGAGAAAAGGGGTGGGAGAGGAGGGAAAAGGGGGGGGAGGAAAGAGCCAAGGAGGAAAAGTAAATTAAATAGTTTGCTGGAACTGTAATTGTGTTTAATGTGGAGACAACCCACTCACAACTACCCTCTGTTTTTCATACTCTAAAGCAGAGTTTCCTAAACATTCATTTTCGTGGCCTGGTTATTTTTTTATATTTCTTCTTCTTGACCAACTCAAGTTTTGATTATTTCAATTCCCGCTTATCGGTTGTATGTGTGGCTGGGTGGTCGATTGGCGCAAGAGTCAATCCCGAATCCCAAGATAAGGTTTTGGTCCGGAGCTCGATCCCCACCAAAGACCATAAGGTTAAGCAAGACAGAAACAACACCAACCCCCCCCCCCCCCCCCCTGGATGGTCGAGAAACCGTGAAGAACGCTTAGAATTAGTCCAGTAAGCGGATACATTAACAAAAAATCCCATTTCCGACAACTCCAGCGACACCACTGGTTCCCAGCTGTATAATCCACATTTGATGTTCCCTTGGAGCAATCCTGGTGCGTGGAGAGAGCCTATTAGCTGTCTAGGGAACCAGTTTATAGATCTAAAGAAAGAAAACCCCAGGGATTGTGACCGACGGGTGCCATTAATAAAAAAAACCCCATAAAGCAGACTGGAATGTCCAGACTGTTTTTATACATTTCAATTTAGAAAAAAAAAAACATTTACTCTTGCACCATTATGTTTTAAAATCAAGCAGACAACTGGGCGATGCATGTATAAACTATCAACACTCCCAAACGTCATCGTTTAAAACTTTTTTTTATTATTTATATAATTGTTTATATTAAGAAACGTCAGGTTTTGAGAACAAAAAAGATGATCAATTTATTCTTGTGTAGGATTTCTTAGCCTCAGCCCTTACTATCTACCTCAACGATCTACTTATTGTATGGGGGCACTATGTTAGGGTTTGTTGGGAACAAGGACAAATGCAAAAAAAAATACCTAATGATGTTTTTTTTTTTTTTTTTTTTTTTAAAGTGTTTGGCCTCGCTGTATGTTTGCTTTGGTGGCCCGGTACCGGGTAGCGACCCGGCATTTAGGAAACACTGCTGGAAGATAACGGAGGGTGAACTAAACAAACCCGACACTTACTTTAAAGTTGACTTGACCAATAACCATCTCATGTTAACATGGCCACACATTGAACACGACCTTTAACCTCTCGGGTCAAGATGACCAGTAACCGCGCAGGTTAACACGACCCATGACAACTCGGGTTAACATGACCAAATGATAACGTGACACATAAGCCCTCCCGTTAACATGACAATATTCCCCCCTTCCCCCAAGTCTAACATGATCAAAAACACCTCCACCCCCATGTTAACATGACCAATAATTTATCACGTTAAAAGGACAAGTAACCTCAAATCGGTGCATATTTTAGCGAGCTCTGGGGGGGGGGGGGCGCAGCATCTACTTTTAAATTAGGGCGACATGTTAATTGCTCATAATGCTTTAGAATTTAGAACAGGCCTGCACAACATACGGCCCGTGGCCCCATGCGGTCTCCCACCACACCCTTACCACCCCCATGTTAACATGACCAATAATTTATCACGTTAAAAGGACAAGTAACCTCAAATCGGTGCATATTTTAGCGAGCTCTGGGGGGGGGGGGCGCAGCATCTACTTTTAAATTAGGGCGACATGTTAATTGCTCATAATGCTTTAGAATTTAGAACAGGCCTGCACAACATACGGCCCGTGGGCCCATGCGGTCTCCCAGCACCCGCTTTGCGGCCCGCCAATTAACGAAATATTATTTTTTTATTATCTTTTTACTAATAGCTTTCCCCCCACCGTTTGTCTGCTTTCGGCCCGCACAAGTTTGTCATGGCGTTTAAGGGTCCGCCTTACATTTTGATGTGTTCAGCCCTGCTTTAGAAGTATAACTATTAATATAATATCTTGTCATTCGTATACACTTTATTCAGAATGGTCATTAAAGGCACATCGATCTATTCTACAAAGCCGTATTGTATATTTTTGTTTCTGGTAAAAATCTATAAATGTTTAGGAGAGGCAATTATTATACTAGACTTTTTCTGTGACGGCCACCTTTTTCGCTCTGGTCCCATTGGGGCCCCCTATATCTGGACCCATTTGGGCCGCCTATGTCTGGACCCATTGGGGCCCTCTATGTATGAACTCATTTGGGCCCCCCTATGTCTGGACCCATTTTGGGCCCTCTATGTCTGGACCCATTTGGGGCCCTCTATGTCTGGACCCATTTAGGGCCCTCTATGTCTGGACCCATTGGGGCCCTCTATGTCTGGACCTATTGGAGCCCTCTTTGTCTGGACCCATTGGGGCCCTCTATGTCTGGACCTATTGGAGCCCTCTTTGTCTGGACCCATTGGGGCCCTCTATGTATGGACCCATTGGGGCCCTCTATGTCTGTCTCTACCATTCGTTAAAAATGACAGTATCGGCACCATATTAATATTTTAAAAAAAAAAGAAAAAACCAAACGCACGACTGATTTAAAAAAAAAAAAGTAATTTGACGATTTTCTGGACCTGACAAATATCCTAACTTTCCTTCAACTGATTATAAGTTCCAGGGATGCATCTAAGCTGGGGCGCCACAGCTGTAACGAATTTAGCTTATGTTGGGCGACAGAAGGGGGGGGGGGCGAAGGTATTCCCACCCCGGTCACCCGAATTACGCCCAATTTTGCTGATATTTTGCAGATGCGCGCCCAACTGGTGTAGCCAGGGTTGGAGCCACCAAGAGCGTGCTAATATCTGCAGAACATGCCACCTTCAATAAAAAACGGAGAATGGGCCGACCGGGGCAGATTGCCCCCAAAACCCTCCCTAAGGCCCTGACCACACGACAATCTGACTGCAGACCTCCTGTCCACCTTCCACCCCGGAGCAGATTTTCTGAAGAAACACTGCTAACGTATTTGTTTTCGATTGTTACTGATTTTAATGTATCTTATTCGTTATGAAAACTTTTTTAAAAATAACATATACACATAATAAATATATATATATAAACAAAAAAAAATAAAGAAAAAAACTATGAGTTTTTCACTACGTTTAATCAGACGGATAGAACCAGTAAACTGTGTCCGGAAACTAACGAGAAACAATTTGTAGGAAACCGTTTTGTAGAAAACCAATTTAAAGGAACCAATTTGTAGAAAACAAATTTGTATGAGACCAATTTGTAATATTTAGAAATCGAATTTATTGAAAACCAATTTGTACTTTGTATAAAACCAATTTGTACTTTGTATAAAACCAATTTGTACTTTGTATAAAACCAATTTGTACTTTGTATAAAACCAATTTGTACTTTGTATAAAACCAATTTGTACTTTGTATAAAACTAATTTGTACTTTATATAAAACCAATTTGTACTTTGTATAAAACCAATTTGTACTTTGTATAAAACCAATTTGTACTTTGTATAAAACCAATTTGTACTTTGTATAAAACCAATTTGTACTTTATATAAAACCAATTTGTACTTTGTATAAAACCAATTTGTACTTTGTATAAAACCAATTTGTACTTTGTATAAAACCAATTTGTACTTTGTATAAAACCAATTTGTACTTTATATAAAACCAATTTGTACTTTGTATAAAACCAATTTATAATTTGCTGGGAACACTTTTTAATTTGTAGAAAACCATTTTTTAAAAATTTATTGGAAACCATTTTGTAATTTGTAGAAAATCAATTTGTAATTTGTCGGAAACCACTTTGTAGAAATCCAATTGGTAGAAAACCAGTTTGTAAAAAAAAAATAACAATTTTTACGAAACCAATTTTTAGAAAACGAATTTGAATGAAGAAATTGTGTTTCATCGAACTGGTTTGTTTAGTGGAGATTTGTTTTGATTAGTTTTAAACGGCAACGTCTCGATCCGATGTGGTATAAATAAAAACTTAGCAATGGTTGCAAAATGTACCTAAAGTTTTTCATAGATTTCTTCTTCTTATTGTTGTGTTTTTATGTGTACGCAGTTTGTTGATAACTGAATGACTGCATTACGGTTTTTAAACCTTTTGGAAAAGTTACACGAGAACGAATTTCCGATAGAGCAACTTTCATTCAACCAGAAATTGGTTTCGTACAAATTTCCGTTAACCACGATTTAACACGAGCATTCTCTAATCTATTCACTCACTTGGAGGCATGCTGAGACTTACTGATACCGCATGCGAGTGCCACACCCAAAGTAGGAACAGAAGTAGCGCCACTAGCATCAGGACCAGGCCACGGCATAGCGTCGCACATACACCTGCAAGATATGTCGCATTCATTATCGGTCAATGGCTTTTTTTTTTTTTTCTTTTCTTTTTACGTTGTGCTTTTTCACACTCTTGTCACATATTTTTCAAATTTTCATGGACTGAGGTAAACAAGTTTGACCATATGTGACGAGTTTTCCCAAAACGTAAAGGAAACCATTTACTAAACAAAGGGGAGATCACATAATTTTAATTTAAAAGCCATAAAAACTCAACTTTGCATTATTTAGTGGCAATTTCTATTTCGTTTACCAATGTTAATTACTCAAGATGTTTTGAAGCGCCCATGATACATGACTGTTATCAATAAAAATGTATGACTTTTCCATGCCTACGCAAGTAATGAAACACATGTGGTTTTAAAAGAAGCCAGCTCTTTGAGTCAGGCGTCAGCAGGATGGGGGCCTCATTCTGGATAAAGTGACCCCTGTGCCAAGAAGCTCCCAGTTAAACTACAGTTTTAATATTTGATGGATGATGTCGATTCCGGCCACTTATTTAGGGGATAAAATTGCTAATCCCTGGTCACTGGCTTTGGTAAGAACAATGTCCATGGCGCACGATAGAAAACAACTTTAAGGTCTACGGTAATATATATATATATATATATATATATATATATATATATATATATATATATATATATATATTATATAAAGATAGAGCTAGACAGCTAGGGGCTGTCAATATAAATCTTTTTTTTTTATATATATATTATATAAAGATTGAGCTAGGCAGCTAGGGGCTGACCATATAAATCTTTTTTTTTTATAAAAACGAATTGATTTAAATATCTTCAGAATCTTAAAAAAACAATGATTGGAATTTTTTATTATTTTACGAAAAGCGAATCAATTTAAAAATTATAAAAATAAAATAAATCTATATTTTTGAGTACATGTAACGGTTCTGGTTCTGGTAATGTTTCATTGCTGCATCCGTGTACTGGCATTTTTGCAACAGTTTCGGGTATGATGTTGCTATTCTAATAGCCCCTATTTTATTATAAATTAGAAATTCATTTACTATATTACATTTTAAAACCCCCAACTATTTTGAATGTCAAGGTTACGGTACAATCAAATAATTTTCCTCTTTGTATTTCCGTTATTGATTTATAATCCCATTTATCTGGAATGCCCGAGCATCTGTTATTTATTATTGCTTTGTTAGGATTGGGACATTAGATTACAATTTATATTGAATGATAAAATGACTTCAACTGATATCAAATTAAACTGTTTGCTTCAACACAATGAAACAAAAATTAGAATTATCCTATAAGAACTTAATTATTTAAACTCGCCAATCGCAAACTTTATTATTTTTGTTTATTTAATAACCACGTGTGACAAAACTGATAATGTATTTTCCACTTTAAAAAAAATAAAAAAAATATATTAAATTTAATTGATTGCTTTTTACCAATCTCAGATTTGTGTGTGTGTAAAATGTAACAAGGTTTTACTTACATCTTAATGGGCAAAAATGTACTCTTATCAAATTTATAACATAATAAAAAATATAACGTTTAAAAATATTTTAAAAAATAAGAGAATGTTTTTTAAGACATTAAGTACAACGAAAATTCATAGCCCATTACGACTGAGTAATCCCCTTATTCCATTGAGAACAAACCGTGCGGAGTGGCAATCTGTATGGAGTAGCAATCGGTTCATTTTGATATCTATATCTCAAAAACCCACTTATGTTCCCGAATTGAACTCTGTTGTATTTTTAAATGTTAAACTTGATAACCATCATCTTTCAATGAACGGAACAAAGCGTAGAACTATATTTTAAGTGGAAATATAACAATGCGCTAAAAGGGATCTGGGACTATAGACTATAGGAGTTAAATAAGGCATAAGCACCCCATTTGAGTACTTTATGCTATTTTTTACACTAAATATCANGGGGGGGGGGTTTGTTGTTTTGCGTAGGGGACACCATCCTGTGAAATTACAGTCGTGGAAAAAGAAGTGTTGCCTTCCCTTTTATCAAATAAATACATGTTGGTTCCAATAACGGAAAAATACTTCAATAGCGTCGAAAGACCTATGTACTTTGACATAAGTATAACCCTGCCTTAAATCAACATATCAAAACCAAAAAATTTCGGACACGTTAAAATTGAATCTTAAAAATACAGTTATATATATATTCCTTTACAGTTCATGAGCGTCAACAAAGACGTGTTGATATTTTCTTTCAAAATATGAAACAAATAGTTTGTTGTTTTTTTTCACTTTGCGAAAAGTTAAGTGGGTACAACTTTTTATGAATATTAGTTTAAAAGGGAACCCCCGAGTCTGTTACAGCCGTGACAATGGGTTAAGAGATTCTCCTTTGAGGTTTGAAAATCAATATTTGTGTCGATCTTACAGCCTTGGAAGAAAGCCAACACAAAAGTTTGGTTACATTTTTAATGCAGATACCAACGTCTGGAAGTTCGTAAGTGCACAAGATATTTAAAATGAAATGTAGAGTTTGCCTTGTAAATTTAAGGTCGTGCTTTTACAATTTTTTTAGAGGAAAAAATGTGTAATACAGGGGCGTGAAAAGAGATAGGATGAGTATAATGTATTATATAGCAGATTAAAAGAAGTATGCTAAGTTTTCTCAGGTACAAAGAATTGCAACGTCCTTACCATTATTATCCCAGTATTATCGGGTCCTATTTTCTTGTTAGAAAAGAATGAGCTAATGTGACTCTGTGACGCTAGGATTCTTCAAAGTAATGTTAGGGATCCCCCCCTCCCCAATTATTTTTTGGAAATCGAATCAATTTAAATATGATAAAATATAATATGTTTTTATCCATGTATAAGTTATAACAAAAGTCTGGTTTACTGTTTACATTACACTGATAATGAGATTTGTTTATTTTACTGAAAGTAAACGGCTTCATTTTTTAATATTTTTTTTGTCTTCGTGGTCCCCAAAATAGTTCTCACATTTCAGCGGTCCACGAGTTTAAGGCGTCTGAAAAATTCAGACGTATGAAAAAGAATTTCCCTAAACAAATCGAGTATTTTAGATTTTCGTCACACCTTTTCTGATCCAAGCAGCGAGAAGATTCATCGTTTGTTCTATCCCGTACAATTCGCACGTTATGAAGTTAACTTTTTTTTTTTATAATAGTGAGGTCCTCAAGTGATCTTAACAGAATGAATTTCATTTAAATTCTCACCAGAACACATAGTTTACGATGGTGTATACACAGGGGACCATGCAGTTTTTTGACGGTAAAAAGAGACTGTGAAGCCTTTATCCCTAGCCCATTATGTGTGACATTGACGTTTAGAAGAAACTGTGAAGCCTTTATCCCTAGCCCATTATGTGTGACATTGACGTTAAGAAGAGACTGTGAAGCCTTTATACCTGGCCCATTATGTGTGACATTGACAACTTTAGAAACAGCGAGCGTTTTTAGTATTTAAAAAAAAAAAAAATTCAGTCGATGATAACTAACTCAAATGAACATCGATAATCGGAGATTACAAAGGCCTCTCGGATACTGCATTGCAGCTAAGTGTTTATTTTTATTTTTAAATATTTAAAAAAAAATGGTGTTTGATCGCTGACGAAGTCATCTTGACGACAAGTTCTTTGTTTCGTTTGCATCCTTTTGAAATCAGGTTTTCCTACACTTTGTTTCGCTCATTTCCTTTTACCTTACCTAACCCGATGACGTTGTGAGCGTGTTATTTTAAGTACATGAATCGAATCGGTAAAAATTCAAAACATTAAAAAAAAAATTGATTTTTATCCATCAGTAGGGTTATCAAAATAACATTTTACAAAATTGTCTAATATTTTTTAATAATTAATTTAATTTTTTTTAATTATTTTTTTTTTAAAAACAAAATATGTCGAAACCCAGGAATACTCAAAAATTAACATTTTCACCGAATCGCCACTAGCACCGCCCGCCGCCCCTCCCCTAACATTTGTTGTATTTTGCTCAGTGCTTTAACTGTGGTTTGTGAGCTTTCGTAAGTAATCATTTTGTGAGTTGTCTTGAACACGACGCAATAAAAACATTTTTATTGCTCAAGATTATTCTATCATGCCTCAAGGCGTGCACAAATCTGAACGGCCAAAACGGCTGCCAGCGGCGAAAAGCACAAAAAAAAAGAAAGATGTGATGCACTAAAATCACCACAAGAATCCATGCTTCTAGATGACTAGGGGGTCAACAACATATGCTCATCAGAATAGCAGTGATACTGTGCCTCCGTTACTAGCAGCATGCATTCTATAGAACAGGAAATAGAAAATGGAAGAGATTTACAAGGAAACGCAAGTAAAAGACGTTGATGGCTTGGAAACGGAAATTGCTGCATATAATGTAGATGCCAACTAAGATTCTATAAATGAGAAAAGCTGGAATATTTAATCAGATATCTCTCTCTGGAAAGTACTAGTTCCAAATCATCTTCGGTCGGAAATGATTAAAATAGAGAGTACCTCGTTTCAGGACAAGGACGGACCATTCAGCGTAGTGACAAGGCAAGATGCGAAATCTAAAGGAGGTGTGTGCCAACTAACCAAACAATGGTTCTACAGGATGATGCCAAATGGCGAGGAACTACTGTGGTCGTGGATTGTTTATTCACTCACCAGTCAGAAATTGTACTATTTTTGCTGAAGATTGATTGCTGTTACTTCAACAGAAAAAAACATCCAATTTTGTTACTGGGTTTGTTAAGTGGTGGAAACTGAGCCCGAAATTACAAAATCATGAGGCATCGAAAGAAAATTTAAAAAATAATGGCAGTAGGTCTTAAGCTAAACAAAACAATTAAAATCCTAAAGCATTGCTGTGATGGACAAGGAGAAGGAAAAGTGGAGTGATAAACCTGGACAGGTTGCTGGATGTTATCACAATGTTTCTTGCAAAGCATAATCTGGCATTTCGAGGCCACAATGAAGGTGAATCTTCAGTGAATGAGAAAAATTTCTTGAAATGGTTGAGATGCTATCTAAATATGACCTAGTGCTAAAAGAGCACATAATGAGACTAGAGAGGAGTACATCTACAGTATCCGCATCTTACCTTACACCAGAAACCCACAATCAATTTATAAATGTCCATGCAAATCAGGGGAAGGAGATGTTTATCATGGATATAAAGGCTGCGAGGTATTTTGGATTTATGTTCGACATTACAACTGAAATATCACACACTGACCATGTGTCTGAAGTGATTAGATATGCGACAGTGCACCTGATCTATCACACACTGACCAGGTGTCTGAAGTGATCAGATATATAAAACATCCACAATGGGAAAGTTAAAGTGAGACTGGACCGCATCAAGTATTCTACACAAAAAAAATAAAATATTATTACAATTAGTCCATCAAGTCTTTGAAAGTCGAATGTTGAGCATCGTAGCACCCCTAAACTCCACAAGTAGACCCGGTCGTCATCCCATCACCCCTAAACTCCACAAGTAGAGCCCGCCGTCATCCTGTCACCCTTAAACTCCACAAGTAGACCCAGCCGTCATCCCGTTACCCCTTAACTCCACAAGTAGACCCGGCCGTCATCCCGTCACCCCTTAACTCCACAAGTAGATCCGGCCGTAACATTGCGCATCTTTGTTAACGGCATTATATCCTTGGAAAATAATTTTTCCTGTGATCTTAAGTACAAAATATTCAGCTAATAAATGCTATGCAAATAATGAGCTTGTGGTAAACAAAGCCGAAAAAGCATACCATAAAAATATGACAATGCCAAATAGCTCTTCTAAACTAAACCGTGTTGAAACTCAAGGCAGGAGCAGGCAATATTTATGAATTATTGATGCGAAGGAATATGCTATTGTAAGGAGTATGACTTTTGATTTTTTATTTTTTTTTATCGTGGAAAAGGCCTTTTTGACTAACCCCATTTTGAAAGTGACAAAGCTGACAGGATCGGATTATCCTTCACTCGTCACACGTACACTCTAGCGGCAATTTTAATAGGGATTCTTTTATAATTTGTCAGATTGCTACGATTTACACATATATAGTTGTGCATTACCCAATAACTGACTTTTTAAACTTTAGATATACCGGTACGTATAAACAATATTCGAAGCTCGTCTTCTCAAAACCGCCCTTTAGCCACGCTTGTCTCATAAAGTGCTATAAAATAAAAACTTTAGTCCGATTTTAAAACGGGTTTTACCAATATAATCAACGTCCAAACCCATAGAAACATCATAAAAATCCGAATGAGACTAGCCCAGTCCTGCACAACTCAACACATGGCCCGCCTGCCGTATGTTACGCGCAGGCCTGGACTAGTCAGTGAGATTCGACTGAAACCGTCACGGGGGTCACATTATAGATATGAGAATTGGGAAAACGCGTGGATCCGCATTAACACTAAACTTTGCGATCATGTATCAGGCCGCAAAATTTCGTCTTGGGGGCCGCAAATGGCCCGAGGGCCGCGAGTTTGAGACCCCTATTATAGAATCCCTTCCAATACTCTCGCTAAGCCTTTATTGTTTCTTAAGATCTGAAAGTTGTTGGTTTTTTAAACTAAGGCTTATCAAGAACTATTTAGGATCCACCATGGGACGTGCAAAGGCTTTCTGATCTGGCTCTACTTTCAATTGAAAGTGAAGCGGTGAAGGATATTGTATTTGATTAGGTGATCGACAGGTTTGTAGCTTTGCAGAGCTAGAAAGGAACTTTTTTCATAAAGTAAATTTAATATAAAAAATAACTATAGCTTAACGTTGCTGGAGTTTTTAAATAAATTAACTCCTGACCTTCAATGAATTTGTTTTTTGTTCTCGTCATTGTTGTACTGTGGACTTATTTAAACAAGAAGAAATCCATCGTGGGGGGGGGGGGGGGGGGGTCGACTCCATGAGTTTACTGCACCAGGTGACACCAACCTTAGCTACGCTATTGCGTTACATGATGATGGATTGTAACTACAGTTGGCATCTTCCCATCCATTTGGCATCTCCCCATCCATTAGGCATCTTTCCATCCATTTGGTATCTTCCCATCCATTTGGCATCTTCCCATCCATACGGCATCTTCCCATCCATTTGACATCTTCCCATCCATTTGGTATCTTCCCATCCATTTGGTATCTTCCCATCCATTTGGTATCTTCCCATCCATTGGGTATCTTCCCATCCATTTGACATCTTCCCATCCATTTGGTATCTTCCCATCCAATTGGTATCTTCCCATCCATTTGGTATCTTCCCATCCATGGGCAAACCAAGGTTGTTTTACTGAAATTTCAAAAGTGGCACAGGAAGAGGGGGGGGGTTGAATATTTGGGGTTGTGTCATTGCAGACGCTTGTAATAAAGTTATAAAACACGAAATTAGTCCAAAAGTGTCCAAAAGTGTCTCAATGTGTCCTACACAGTGCCCTCTCCCTCATGTGCCCTTAATCACTTCGTCCAATGCTATTAAGTTTTTGCTGATCGTCGGACAAGTTTTTTTTATTGTGCGATCGGCTCTCTCAGCTGCAGTTTCATGTTCAGATCATGTTCTTTAACATCTTAAGGCTGTAAAGCCATCACTTGATATGATTTTTTTTAATACATTACGGACCAGACATTTATAGACTCCAACAAGAAGATCTGACCCTCCTAGTACTTAAACCTAACATCTTTGGATCTCCGACACATCTGTTAGCTGATTGTTGAGTTAACTCATCCAATCCTGCTTTGATGTTACCGTTAGATGTAACAACACGATAGCATCAAACCCCTGTGCAGTTCGATATTCACAGTGATCGATGCATTATTTATACGAAGGCAACTGATAATAAACATCTGAACGTTAGGTAGAATTAAAGTAATCAGGGTAGTCTGCAAACCCATTTATGTCAAGGTTGGTGGGGTGGGTGGGGGAAGGGGAAACGGTGAATTTGTAAATGTCTCCATTGTAGAGTTTCCCCTGTTACGATACCAAGAGATCATTGGTCGGAGACTGAGGGGGGGGGGAGGGGGGATAACAACAACGGTTACTTGGGTCCCACACTTGTGAATCTTCCTGAAGTTATCTTACTTTTATAATACATATTATATTATACAATGCTACATCACAATCGGGACCGGCTTGAATTCATCGGGTGTCCTGTTCAAGGTAATGTACTGAGGCACCCTAACACTCTCTGACCTATTCAAGTATGTGTGGCCCAGGCTGACCCATGAGTTACAACGTCTTTCATTCAGTTTGACCCATGCGGTATAGGGTTCTTCATACAGGTTGACCAATGCGTTATAACGTCCTTCATGCAGGTTGACCCATGCGTTATAACGTCCTTCATTCAGATTTACCAATGCGTTATAACGTCCTTCATGCAGGTTGACCAATGCGTTATGACGTCTTTCATTTAGGTTGACCCATGCGTTATGACGTTCTTTATTCAGGTTGACCCATGCGTTATGACGTTCTTTATTCAGGTTGACCCATGCGTTATGACGTTTTCATTTCAATGATTGTAGTCCGATTTTTTTTTTTGGGGGGGGGGGGGGGGNGGCCTTTCAGACGATTAGAAAGTGGAGCCGGAAATCTATCAGCGCAAAATTAAGCATGATGTCGCCTGAGTCGGTATCACTAAGTCCCCTCCCCCCCCCCCGCCCTCCATAAGCATTAATTAATACCGGTTAAGACGCCCCTACCCTAAAGACAATCTTTTTGCTTCATTTAAGTTTCTTCCCTGGAATATTTAAAGTCTTACGAATTATATGCCTACAGATTAAATGCCGAAACTAAAGGGAAACAATTTTTATTACTAACATCCAGTGCTTGTTTTATTTGTAAGAGTTGCCGGTACTGTCCCTTTGTTTAAGTGCGTGAAACAGAGTTGGGGGGGGGGGGCAGCAGCGGAGGAACTTCAACGAAACGGAAAATAGGACTTGCGGAGGAGGAGGTTCAGGGGTGCACTTTAGTGCATAGGCGCATACCTGAATTGAGTTTTTTACCATTTCTAAACAGAGGAACGGAAGAGGTGTATCATTATAATTGTACATTACAAGTGCATCATTACAGGCGTCTCGTTAAATGTTTACATTACAGGAGTCATTATATGTTTACATAACAGGTATGTCATAACAACACCGTTCAATCAACAAACACAAATAGCTTCAAACAACACTTGATGCATCCTCAGCTCAGCTCATTTATTGGAATTTAATCTCAAATAAAATATAACACATTTATTTGTAGTTGGCCTCTATTTGTGTCTGCTTGTGTCTGCTTGTTCACGAAGGTGTCTCTGTGTTAAAGAAGAAACCTTTCATTAAACTCATTACCAGAGCAGGCAATGACAAGCAGCTTTACATCTATCAATCCCTGTGGCGCTACATCCCATGTAGTGCTTTGGCCTGCCTCACGACTTCCTTCCATCCATCCCTATGGCGCTACATCCCATGTAGGGCTTTGGCCTGCCTCACGACTTCCTTCCATCCATCCCTGTGGCGCTACATCCCATGTAGGGCTTTGGCCTGCCTCACGACTTCCTTCTATCCATCCCTGTGGCGCTACATCCCATGTAGGGCTTTGGCCTGCCTCACGACTTCCTTCCATCCATCCCTGTGGCGCTACATCCCATGTAGAGCTTTGGCCTGTCTCACAACTTGCTTCTATATATCCCTGGGGCGCCTGCAACCAGGGTTTCTTTCAGATGTATCTCCGGGGGGACCTTTCCCCCGGGAGAAGCCAATTCCCCCCCCCCGAGCAAAAATAAGTCCAACAATAATTCAACTGGCTTTGCTGGCACTGCCCCCCCCCCCCCCCGAAAAATCTGAAGTCCCCACGGGGGGAAAATTTCTGAAATAATCACTGGCTACAGCTCTGTTGGGGCGTTTTGGCCTGCCTCACCACTTGCTTCTATACATCCCTGGGGCGCCTACAGTCCATGTGGAGCTTTGGCCTGCCTCACCACTTCCTTCCACTCAGATCTATCTGATGCTTTTCTTTTCAATGCTTGGACCCCCCAGCTGCTGTAATCCCATTCCACATCTAAGCCTAGGTCTGCCTTTGAGCTGTTTTCCTCTAGGGCTTTAATGATGCACCCTCTTCACTCCTCTGTCATTTGGCATTCTTTCCAAGTGTACCGCCTAGCATAGCCTCCATTGTTTTATTTCTGCTTCTAGAGTGAGATTCTGATGTAGTCTACACAATGCCTGATTGCTTCTATCTATATTCATCCTCAGCAGCTTTACAAAAGAAAAAAAAATAAATTAATAAAAAGGACTCAGCTAATCATTTTAAAAACAAAATGTGGAAGATTCTCTGCACAAAAAAAAATACAGTTGAGAAGCGTTAGACAAAAGGAGAGTGGTAGTTACATATTTACACTCAGCCTAACGTTACGATATGAACAACGGGGACGTAATGAAAAGGAGAGCGGAGAAGTGGCAGGCACCTGGGAGGGGGGGGGGNATTTATTTTTAAAAATTGTATTTCCTTTTTATTTTTTATTTTTTATTTTTAGAGTTTTTTCCCCCGTCCGTACGCATTCACCAGCGTCCCCCCCCCCCCCCAATTTGGTTACCAAAACTAAATGACCACTAATGACGTCACGATTCTCACCAAGCGCGCTCGCTAATTGTTAATTTCTACGCTAGAGAAATACTTTAGCGGTCTTGTTTTTGAAATGTTAGTTGTTAAATGTTGTCTTGGTTAAAATACGTATTTCTTTATGTGCTGGAAATGAATATCTACAATGTGATTTAAAAAAATCAAACATTTACATTTATTTGGATCAATAAAGCATCTTATCTTATCTTATATAATATAATCTCATCTTATCGAATCTTAACTTATCATAGGATCAAATTTGAAAGGTAAAATTCTTGCCCCGCCACGGGCAACACTTACCCCAGCTACGCCCCTGATCCCGGTCATCTCCTCACACAAAAAATTATAGAACTGAGATGAGAACGCGAACAATGAAAAGAAAACAAACACGTCCCAACGTTTTCCTACGACGGTAAGATAAGATAAGATAAGATGAGATAAGATATTTTTATTGATCCGAATAATTGGAAATTTGTTTTTAATCATCGAAGGGGTGAGTTTGAAGGACTTTCGTCTTTTGAGGGCAGCAGGAATGAATAGATTAAATAGTTAAATGTCAGCTATTAATTGGATCAGTAAACACGTCACCAAATGTTAAACAAAATTGCAAAATTGACTCGAACTTAAACTGAAGGATATTGATAATTTGGGACAAACGGTGAGTGTGGGGCCTTTATATATAAAAACCCAAAGTGCCCCCTTGGGGCGGTCGTCCACTTCGCACCCCTAGGTACGCCACCAGACGGAAATTATGCCATGGGACGTGTTCATGTCTCTAAACGGGTGGAGTTCTTTCAGGAGGCGGGGCCACTTTATTTGACACTTTATCTACATGAGACAATTACATTCACTTAAGAGCTGCAACCTTAGACTACCTATATATATATATATATATATATATAATGAAACAAATCTGTACACAAATATATACGTGAGTGTCAATTTTCAGCCCGCAGAAATCTTCAAATTGTTTTATCCTTACGAGGAGATTTGGAGATTTAGTCCCACAGCAGTTTTTTTTTAATTTTGTACCCCTACCCGCTTTTTTTTTAACGTCATACTTTTTTAAGTTACACATTGACATCTCTGGATGAGTGTCTGCCACGGGAGACGACCACTTGCCACACGCAGACTGCAGGCCATCATCTGGAGAGGACTATGAAGGATAACTACACAATTCATAGTATTGGGGTTGATGCTTGAAAGCAATGTCCAGGAAGTAGGGACTACAGATGGGGACACATGATGGTGAACTCACATTCATATATAGGACACTGAACAACTGAGGGTTATTACTTCCCCTGTCAACCGGAGCTATCGTTCTTAACTGACGAGTACAAAGAACTACAGAGATGGCTTCACACTTTGTGAAAGCAGCAGCCAACAATCGTTTCAAACCTTAGCAAGTGGAATTATTAATGCAATCCCTTTCGGACACTATCTGCTACCCTGGACAATTTTAGCACAACAGCTTGATTGGTTTAAGAATGACGTAGTTAAATGTACCAATTAGTTTTAATATGGAGGTTAATCCTTTTAATGGTTAAAATCAGTGATTTTTTTGTGCCGGTACGCACTGGTACGGCGTACCGGCACCTTTTTCAATGTGGGGGAAAGATTATTACTTTTCTTGTATTTTAACGTTTATTATTAATTAATACGGCATACTAATCAAGTAATAATAAAACAATCTAAGTTGGTTAATTATAAAATAAAATTGTTTTAGACATTTAGTATCTTTGCAGTTGTGATTTAGCTTGCATCGAGGTGCGAACTGGTAGTTAAAAGTCAGGCAATCCATCACTGAGTACCGGCACCTATTATTTTTACAAAAAAAGCACTGGTTAAAATGATAATGAATACAATGTCTTAAATTTAATGTCTTTAATAAAAAAAATGTCTTAAGTAATATGCCTTTAATAATATGTCTTTAGTAATTTCTTTGATAAAATGTCTTTAGCAATATGTCTTCAATAAAATGTCTCTAGTAATATGTCTTTTAATAAAATATCTCGATTAATATGTCTTTAATAAAAATGTCTTTAGTAATATGTCTTAAATAAAATGTCTATCATGAGGTCTACTAGTCAATCTTTTTCTGCTTTCTGGGTTAATAAGAAAACCTGTGCCGTGGCCATTATAATACTATGGAATAAAAACAATTCAAAATTTCGTTTAATACAAAGATTGATTTATTAAAGTTGTTCCTAAGCAAAGTTAGAATATGTATCCTCTAAAAGTAAACTTATCAAATCCATGTACTGTAATATGAGTTTCAGACATAAATTCAACCAAATGGTCAGGTGAGCGCGTACTTTCCCCTTGCAATGAACATGCAAAAACTTTATGAGAGAAACTCATATCAAGTGAAAGCTTAGACAATGCGATGTAAGCAGCAATCCATCAATTCGTATTACAATACGTCTAAATAATTATGACGTCATTACATTTGGACTAATCGCCTGTCTCGCTCGCATGCAAGGTTCTCAGTTAATCTTTTATTAGCCAATAAGGTTACTGAAGTAGATTCCATTAATAATAAGTTTAAACAAAGAATTAAACAAAAAACATTACGCATAAACAGGCAAACCAATAGCACAGAAATTAATGAACACGAAAACCAATAGCATAGAGATTAATAAATACGCAAACCAATAGCACAGAGATTAATAAACACGCAAACCAATGGCACAGAGATTAATAAACACGCAAACCAATAGCACAGAGATTAATAAACACGCAAACCAATAGCCGAGAGATACATAAACACGCAAACCAATAGCACAGAGATTAATAAACAAGCAAGCCAATAGCACAGAGATTAATATACACGCAAACAATTAACAGACTGATTAAACAAGGTCATTATCAAATTTAACACCCCAACTCTGGCATATCTATAACAAAATAAAATTAAAGTTTAAAAAAATTCAACCTCAAAGTAACAGCTTCAAGTGACATAACTCTTTTGGACCATGCATTCAGATATTTTGGGGGGAATCGACCAAAATGTTCCATCGCAGGCCACTATTTTGCCCCACCAGAATCAGTCGAAATCCTCAAAATCGATCAGCTTTGGTGAATCCAGCTCGGTTAGATATTGTTCAGTCAACAACAGCAAAACATCAGTGAAGAAAAAAAGAAAAACAGCACCGTATTTGATATTCTAAACGTCACGTTGAATTAAAGTAACCCGGATGGTCTGCAAATCTTTTGATGTCGATGAATCGCGAGTTGGGGACGGTGAATTTGTAAAGATGTTCATTGAAGAGTTTTCCTGTGATTATACTAAGGCAGGATTGGTCGAATCTGTGGGGGGAAAAAACAAAAAATAACAAAAAAGCAATGATTTTTTTATATATCACAGACTTCCGCATCTTGCTGTTATCATTTTCTATTTTTGTATACTAGCTAATTTACCCGGCAAAAAAAAAAAAAAAAAAAAAAAAAAAGGGGGGAAAAAAAAAAAAATAACAAAAAATCAATGATTTTTTTATATATCACAGACTTCCGCATCTTGCTGTTATCATTTTCTATTTTTGTATACTAGCTAATTTACCCGGCAAAAAAAAAAAAAAAAAAAAAAGAAAAGAAAGAAATCTTATGAGCATACACGTAAACCTTGGGCCCTTTCAAAAAAACTAAGCTCTATAATCAATAAAACTTTTTTTTTTAAATTGTGCCCCCATGAGAAATCGAGATTAATGAAAACTCTTGTAAACATTGACTTTGGGGCCCATCCCCCATGAAGGTTCATATTCAAGCTCGGCCAAGTAAAAAAAAAAGAACCTACATGCTTTAAAGACTTATTGAACTTTTAAAATTTATTCACTTGTGCCTAATAAATAGACTTTAATCAGTGAAAATAAAAAAGAGGAACCCTGACATCAACCCATTCAGAAATGGGGCATTTTATTTATACCTGAAGTAGGCAATCTTGTAACTATAATTCATTTAAATATAATAGCTACATTTTCAAATTTTATTATCACTAGGAGAGGTGCTCCATTCCCTAAGGTTATTTTTTATGATCGCTAAGATAGGGGCCACATTCCCTAAGGTTATGGTTTATTATCACTAATGTACACATTCATCAGACAAATAATCAAGTTATTAATTTAAAAGTAGTCCCATTAGAATCAGTTAAAAAAATTGCAAGAGTTATAGCTATTTAATATATTGCACACAGGAACCCGGAGTAGATATTATTTGATTAGAATTCAGCACTATTTTGATATTGAATATAAAATCTATGTGTCCAAGTTATGCCTACATCCACCAAATCACGTAGAGCCATTAATTGTTATCTAAGCCTACGGTTATTTATAAAGCTTAAATAAGGAAAATACAAGTATGGCTTTGGCCCCGAAAATGTTAATTTGAAGTAAGGATTTTAAAAACCCTCCAATATTTCAAAATAGATTTTGAAATGCACGTATGCCATGTTTGTACTTTTTAAAAAATATAGCTCGTATAATCAAGCACAAAATTTGGTTCCTCAACCTGAACGGATTAAAAAAAATATATATTTTCAAAACCTGTCAGTATGTCTTTCTGGATAGCGAAGCACTGAGTCAAAATGGACAGACACGCAGCGATGCCATTCGCAATCGGGTACCATTAGGCTAAAGCTATTCGGATGTCATTTGTGGTAGATTATTTTAGTTAAACTGAAGAATTGAGTTTACAAACATAATGTCCATTGCATTATCTTTCATTTGATACCTCATTTTGTCTTACACACCCAACAATAATATTTTAAATAGTTTTTTAATCCCAACCTCTGTCTTCTGGTACTCGGGTACGAATAGTCGCAGCCTCTCTGTATATTTAAAAAATAGAATTGCAATTAAAAGCTAATCTTTTGTTTAAAAAAAAACAAATTTCAAATAAATATATTTTGAAAGCCCTTTGTTCTTCGAACATCGTATAAAGCTTTATTTAAAATGCTCACCAAAAATCTTCAGTTAAAAGTTTTTTTTTTTTTTGCAAGCGCACCGTTCTGAATAGAAGCTTATTAAAAATCTAGCGAGAACCCGGCATACTTTGCAATATCACTCAAAGAAAAAAATATGTGTTTGTGTTTAATTTCGTTTTTAAAGTAGTTTTTAGATAGAATTTGTTTTTCCCGCCTGGTGCGAGCACAAAAAATTAGAAGGTTTTTCGACTCGTGAGCAACCAACATACATCAGCTGTCCACGTGAGAAGCATGGATTTTCAAAATTTAGTCCACAGTAACGATTGATCCACCCATGCAGTAGCTCTATTCGAAATTATATTTATATAGCTCACTTAAAAAGTATTTTTTTAAAAATGGCCCCCCGGCCCAAAACGCAAAATTGTAAAATGGTTGAACTAATTCAGAAACCTCCTAATTATGTCACACTCAAACTGAAATGTCGCTTGTATTTGATTCAATTCCATCAACCCATGCAATAGCTCTGTTTGAAAATATATTTGTATAGCTCATATAAGAAAAAATATTTTAGGACAACCGGCCCCAAATGGAATATTTCAAAATATTCGGGGGATGGGGCTGAAAATGTAAAATAATGTACTGTGATTGACAAAGGGTCTACGTGCCAAGTTTCAGCTCGATAGATGGACGGAAAGTGGGCAAATTAGCTGTTCGAACATTTTGACACCCAGCAAGAAACCCACGAACAAAAGCAAAGTTAATATATAGAGGATTTCATAAATTGAACGTCACCCGAAGCAATTTACATTTTTTTTTTACTATCTACATTTTACGATTGCTTTAAGTGTAGCTTTTGGGATCATGGGATTTTGAACAAACTTTCCCTGAACGACGTTTTGTTCAGGAGATAAGACCATGTACAATTTGATTACGATACATTTTTTGAGTTTCCTGTTATAAAGTTGGAAATAACAAACATACAAAGGACCTCCATAAAAACACAGCTTTTTATCATTTTATTCTAATAATCTCTTTTATATATATATATATATATATATATATTGCTTGTGGTGTGACTGCTTCCATTTCCAGATAGCGCACAAAATATAATTTCCAATAACTACGCAAAATGATATCTTATATATATATATATATATATATTAGATAACGCAACTGCGTTTGTGCGTACTATTATCTTTATTTTCTTTTCGGAAAATGAAATCGTCCCAATTTGGTGTAATAAATACTTAGTTAAACAATGTTTAGGCAACCGGAACATCAATATAGTCCATGGGCGTGAAATAAAAAGTGTGCAGTGACGTATCATTGAGGAAAGGGGGGGGGGGCTGTAGCATAAATTGGGATTCTTAAACGTACGTTACCTGAGTTCATGTTTTGTCAAGCAGCTTCAGTAGATGGGAAGTTCACCAGCTAACACTAGCATATTATATAACTTTGTATTAGTGGATGTAACCCGCCACGTAATGACGGTTGAAATGCTTGAACATTCCGTCTATTCTGCTAAAGTAATTTTTTAACAAAACATGCATTCAAGTAGCGCACTTTTATAAAAACGCACAAATAAATGCTAACGTCTGGGGAAATATATTTTGAAACTTTGCGCGACTATTGAACACACCATTGCAGCGATACATTCTCATACCTAAAGAAGTATTTTTAAAAAAAAATTAGTATTCTATTATATTTTAAAAAAATTATTCTAATTATAATACATTATATTATGGTATATTATATGGGGGTTCTTTCTGTGTGGTAAGATCACGTGAAAACATCATGTACTAATATGACCAACTTATAATTGTTGCAATGGAGCGGAGCTTCTCAACCTGTGTGACGACTGGCATCCACACAAATCTTGTATAGTTATAGTTATAATAATAATTTTAAATTAAAAATGGATCATTCTAAAAGGAGAAATCGAAGGGAAAACTAAATTTACGATTCCGTTAAATATAATAAAACAGTGATTCCCAAACTTTCGTCATCTGTGTACCCCTGTCTATAATTTTCGTAACACTGAGTACCCCTCGTAAAAATTTTTTTCATATACTTAAATAAAATATTTTCCTTTGCAGTGCGTACCCCCACCAAACTCTTCCTGTACCCCCAGGGGTAAGCGTACCACACTTTGAGAAGCATTGTATAAAAACATTATAAAGAGCTAAATGAAGTCATGTAACTTATTGTATCCAGGACGAATTAATTTTTTTTTTAAAAATAAAATTTAACACAAAACTATACCCTCGTTGGCTTTAAAATGCGTTTAAAACATATCATTTAAAACACATCGTTTAAAACATATCATTTAAAACACATCGTTTAAAACATATCATTTAAAACACATCGTTTAAAACATATCATTTAAAACACATCCATGTACGACTACATCAGCTAATGCGATAGCACCGTACCTGTGGCACCCGTGTTCCGTCTCTCTTTTAGAACATCCTATCACCGCCTTGGGAAACACCGGACACATACAGGACGCCTCTAGTGCACACCTGGCCCATGGCTTCAGGATGGCGTTAACAGCAAAAGCCTCCGGCTTGAACAGTGAAAATCCCGCGTGGAGTTCCGGAAACACCGAAAATGCACAGGGTTTTTCTTCAAAGTAATCAAAAGTCTGATGGTCGAGAAATAAATGACATGGAAATGGACTATAGACATTACAACGGTTCATGATGATCAAGTGAAGTAATGACGTGAATGTCGATTATCAACAAACTTTAAGTTCTATTAATAACACTAACGTTGATAAACTGTAGTCTAGTAAATTAATGATGTATAATTGTATTATATATAACAAAAAGGGTTATAAAATTATGCAGCTATTTTTAAACGCAAATTTCCGTTTGTAAATTTCATATTCGCGATATTATTTCTTGATGTTTAATTATTTAAACAAAAGCATAACATATTTGCGTATTTAGTTTGGAGGGACTTTCTGCTAAAAGAAGAATGACAATTATTTAAATACAATTGAGTTAACCTTTGACCTTTTCTAATGCGTGCATGGGGACCCTGGAGGACCTCGGACTACGCAGCAGCTGCATGCCCACGTCCTGTGCACGGCTGATGAGCTCCGAGCCTGACCGCAGCCAGCGGATGGAGCTGTCTTGGTAGATGAGGACTTTGCGCACCCTCTGAAGAGCCGACTGCAAAATATGGATAGAGCTTAAGACAAGGATGATTTGGACTAATGGTGAGTTGAGGCAGTCCCAATGATCAAGGCATCTGGATTTTTTAATCCCATATTAAAACTGTTATCTTCAGTTAAGTAAATTAAATGTAACGCGTTTATATATAGTTTAATATATTTAATATATAGTTTAGAATAACATTTTTTTGTGTGGAAAATACCCCCCCCCACCCCCTCAAAAAAAAACCCCAAAAATGTAGCTTGTCAAACAGGTAAAAAAAACACAGTGATGTATTTCAAATCCAATCACTATTGATTATGTAAATATGGAAGAACAATTTCTTTCATTGTTTTTTTTTAAACCAAGAAAAGACACTCCTTAGATACCATGTCTTGTATATTATTGTTTACCCCGTGACTTGTGAAAGGCTTTACTGCCCTGGTGGCGCCCATAAACTATTATTTGACTGCGATCGGTCTATATATAGAGTCACGTTTGCGTTCACCGTAGATCCCCCCTGCGATGCTCGCTTCGCAGATTTGCCTTTTTTTCAGGATGAGCCAATCCGGATTTTTGACGTTCGTATTATCGGCGTCTAACCGAATAAGAGATATTGACTTGTTGCCCATTTGAGGAAAACCAACTAGCTAACGACACGTGACTGAAAAGACAATTACCAATATGATAAGTGGCTTCCAGGTATAGCAATGCCTGTTGGACGAGTGTCGGGGAAATTTGTAGAAAGGGAAATCTAGAACTTGACAACGGCAATGTTTCTCAGTCTGAAAAAATAAATATTTTTTTTAAAAAATGTGCTTAACATTCGATGTCCAAGCGACTTTCAAACAGTCAAAAAGTGCATCTTAAAAATGTGCATTTACCTTAGAGAAGGAAAACTCTGATCACAAGACTCCCGCCACCTTGTGGCTGCAAACCCCATAGCGTTCAAGGTGTGGGAAATTTTCAGTACAGTTACTTTTGGCATATATATTTTTTTAAAATTATATATAGTGTTACCTCTGGCTACGAATGTCTCAGGTCACGGACAATTCAGGTTACGAACAACAACCTCGAAAATGATTTGTCTCGGGTAATGAACAATGCCTCGGGTTACGAACGAAGGCGAGAGAGAGAGAGTGAAAGAGAGGGAGGGAGAGTGAGAGAGAGAGAGAGAGAGAGAGAGAGAGAGAGAGAGAGAGAGAGAGAGAGGGAGATATAACGGTGGGGAGATACTATTGTCTGTTAGCATTGAGTTACAGGGTCTGTGAAATGGATACTATTGTCTGTTAGCATTGAGTTACAGGGTCTGTGAAATGGATACTATTGTCTGTTAGCATTGAGTTACAAGATTTAACGTTGGGGACCAACGATCGCCGACAGATCCTAAAGATTGTCCAGCAAAGAAAACAACAACGCCGGCCTTTACGGTGTGCGACGTGTGCCCTCGCACAGGGCGCCTTGGTCATAGGGGCGCATGGGGCGCCCAGAATATATTTAAATTCCTTTAGTTTATTTTAGTGAAGTGCGATATACCGTAGAAAATTAATCAGTCTAAATTAATGGGCGTGTTTAAATGCGCCCCATGCGCCCCTATGACCAAGGCGCCCTGTGCGAGGGCACACGTCGCACACCGTAAAGGCCGGCGTTGTTGTTTTCTTGGTAAGAAGCAAAGAATTTGTTGGTTGAAATTTTACATTTATTTTATTTTGTGTGTGTGTTTTCGTTCTCTTTATTTAGTACGTGAAGTACGTGCATTCTTGGCGTTTTGTCACGTTAGCGGCCGGATGTTAAGACAAAAGATCGATTCTTGGCGTTTTATCACGTTAGCGGCCGGATGTTAAGACAAAAGATCGATTCTTGGCGTTTTGTCACGTTAGCGGCCGGATGTTAAGACAAAAGATCGATTCTTGGCGTTTTGTCACGTTAGCGGCCGGATGTTAAGACAAAAGATAGATTCTTGGCGTTTTGTCACGTTAGCGGCCGGATGTTAAGACAAAAGATAGATTCTTGGCGTTTTGTCACGTTAGCGGCCGGATGTTAAGACAAAAGATCGATTCTTGGCGTTTTGTCACGTTAGCGGCCGGATGTTAAGACAAAAGATCGATTCTTTCATCTTGTCACGGATTGTTTTTATTTCACTGATTTGAAAGTTACGGGTTACGAACTTTTCGGGTTACGAACCGAGTTCTGGAACGAATACCACTGTTTAATATATATATATAGATATATATACAGGGTGGGCCAAAACAAGTGAGATCATCTCGTAAAATATTACACTACGAAATGTTTTCACTTTTTTTGGCCCACCCTGTAGATATATTAGAGACCGACCGAAAGATATTTCTGATTTCGGCCCAAAACCAAAACCAGACCGAAAATTTTAAAATGACCGAAGACGAAGCCGAAACCAAAAGCTTAAAGACACTTTCGGCCGAAACTGAAGCCGAAACCAATTGCTTAACGAGACTTTCGGCAAAAAACCGAAAGATTTAGATATTTTAAATTCGTTCACGCAAAGTTTCTGTATTCATCGAAAAATGATTTGAGGAAAGTATCAATATTTACATTCTTGTTATAATAAATGAGATCATCGTGAAAATTAATAAATAATGAATACTTTGGCTTTTACCATTTTAATTAAAAAGTATTTTAACTTTCTTTAAAATTCACAGGAATACAATTTTTTAAGGCTATAAACTATCACCACAATGTTTCGCGTCACCGCCATGCTTATGCTTTATGTTTTCATAAATAGATCGCCTGATATCGCTGTATTAATATTTAGCCTAGTACACGCGTCTTTCCGTGCTGGTGACGTAATTATTTCGTTCAGCGACCAACCTCCCTCAACCCTATTTTGAATATTCGTACTGGCGCAGAGTCGTATGTCTGAAAATACTAGGCTCACCATTTTTCTTTGCTCCTCTGTCAGGCCGATGTCGAGGAGGACGAGGCTGACGTTCTCCGACTGAGGGGTGAAGACGGTGTGCAGGTTGTAAAACATCGACTGCATCTCGTGGTAGTGGTCGTGTGAACTCGCAGACAAGAGGATGTAGTCACTGGTCGGCAGCGCCTCGGTCAGGGCCAGGATGGCGTCCACCTGTTCATCGGAGAGGGTCAGTTTGGCGGATGTCGCCAGATCCCATAACCTGAGTTTGGGCGAAGCGTTCAAAGGTCTGGAACAGTTGGACCTGCAAGCTGAAGGGAGTTTGAGGACCTTGTTACTTTTTAAATATTACTGAATGGCAGGAACGATTGACTGGCTGAACTTTGATAATTACACAATATATATAAGAAATCTATATGTAGATAAGTTTCGTTGATTGCTCCCCATTGATAAAATCTTAACAAGAAGACGTAATTGAGATCTGTAACTTGAACAGCAGCTTTTGACCATGATCCTCAGTGGACACACACGAACACTCAACGGAATGTCTTACCCAATCTGTCTCCGTCGGGACGACACGGGATGGTGAAGTTACCGTTGGTCAAGTCACTTGACCTTAAGAGCAACTGCTCCAGCTGACCACTCAGCTCCTCGAAATCTAACGGATCTCTGATCAAGTCGTGGGACGATCTCTGTGCAGGCGTGACGTTTCTTTCTGGCGTCTCGGAGTCTCCTTTTACAACAACCACCGACGTATAAAGAAGGGTGGGGGGAAAAAAGAGAAATAATTCAGGAGAAAAAGTTAAGTAAAGCACAGGAAAGAGTACAAAATGTGTGTGTGTGTGTGTGTGTATATAACGTTGAAACTGTGAATGTGTTTAGCGTGCATGCAATTCGCTGACTACTCCCACATTTGTTTCTATGCCGTACGTCATAAACGGCTATGTTTATAACAGTTTGAAGTAAGTCCGGCTGTCAAACACTTGCCCTGAGTTTCAATTTCTTTGTCGTCACCAAAGAAGATCAAATTTGAAAGCAGGGCAAGGTGTTCATTGTATAATATCATCATGCTTTAGAAGTATAGATAAATGTATAATTTAAAAAAAAAAATTTTTTTTTGCCATTCATACACAATTTAGTACCGGGTATAAAAAAATTTGAATAGAGAAATTTTGTTTGCTCGAATAAAAGTTTGATCGAAATGGTTAGTTCAAATATTTTTTTATTTATTTTAAAACGGTAAGATGTCGATCTGATGAGCTATAAATAAAATGTTATTATTTGTAAAGTTACCAGTGAACAAACTTCCATTCGAACAACTCTCGTACTAATTGGTTCCGTACAATTTGGTTTCATACAAATCGGTTGCGAAACAAAGTTATTTCTTCAAAAAATTGTTTTCGTGCAAATTGGTTTCGTACAGATTTCCGAAAACACGTTCATGCTCTATTCTGTTCACTTACTTGGAGGCATACCGTGACTTACAAGTACCGCTGGCGAGTGCCACAGCCAGACCAGGAACAAGAGCAGTGCCACTAGCAACAGGACCAGGCCGCGACATAGCGTCACCAATTTACCTGCCAGATATGTCGAGTTCATTATCGGTGAATGGCGCTTTACAGTGTGTTGATTTTTGTGTACACTCTTTCCTACAATATGCACGGAGTAATCGACTGGTGGTCTACTGCTTTGGCTGTGTATGTGACTGGTGGTCTACTGCTTTGGCTGCGTATGTGACTGGTGGTCTATTGCTTTGGCTGTGTATGTGACTGGTGGTCTACTGCTTTGGCTGTGTATGTGACTAGTGGTATACTGCTTTGGCTGTGTATGTGACTGGTGGTCTACTGCTTTGGCTGCGTATGTGACTGGTGGTCTACTGCTTTGGCTTTATATGTGACTAGTGGTATACTGCTTTGGCTGCGTATGTGACTGGTGGTCTACTGCTTTGGCTTTATATGTGACTAGTGGTATACTGCTTTGGCTGCGTATGTGACTGGTGGTCTACTGCTTTGGCTGCGTATGTGACTGGTGGTCTACTGCTTTGGCTTTATATGTGACTAGTGGTATACTCCTTTGGCTGCGTATGTGACTGGGGGCGTACTGCTTTGGCTGTGTATGTGGCTGGTGGTCTACTGCTTTGGCTTTGTATGTGACTAGTGGTATACTGCTTTCGCTGTATATGTGACTAGGGGTATACTGCTTTGGCTATATATGTGACTAGTGGTATTCTGCTTTGGCTTTATATGTGACTAGTGGTATACTCCTTTGGCTGCGTATGTGACTGGGGGCATACTGCTTTGGCAGTGTATGTGGCTGGTGGTCTACTGCTTTGGCTTTGTATGTGACTAGTGGTATACTGCTTTCGCTGTATATGTGACTAGGGGTATACTGCTTTGGCTGTATATGTGACTAGTGGTATACTGCTTTGACTGTATATGTGACTAGTGGTATACTGCTTCGGCTGTATATGTGACTAGTGGTATACTGCTTCGGCTTTATATGTGACTAGTGGTATACTGCTTTGGCTGTATATGTGACTAGTGGTATACTGCTTCGGCTTTATATGTGACTAGTGGTATACTGCTTTGGCTGTATATGTGACTAGTGGTATACTGCTTTGGCTATATATGTGACTAGTGGTATACTGCTTTGGCTATATATGTGACTAGTGGTATACTGCTTTGGCTATATATGTGACTAGTGGTATACTGCTTTGGCTTATATGTGACTAGTGGTATACTGCTTTGGCTATATATGTGACTAGTGGTATACTGCTTTGGCTATATATGTGACTAGTGGTATACTGCTTTGGCTATATATGTGACTAGTGGTATACTGCTTTGGCTGTATATGTGACTAGTGGTATACTAATACATTCAGTAAAAATAAATAAACGGCTTAATTGATTGTCTTGGTGGTCCCCAAAATACTTCTCACAGTTCACCCGTCCGCTAGTTTTTAGGACACCGGAAATGTTAATGACATATTGAAACATTTGCGTTTTTTTAATTTTCAGCGAAAAGTTAACAAATACGGTAGTTATAATTGTCGTCACACTTTTTCTAATCCAAGCGGTGAGAAGATTCATCGTTGGTTCAATCCTGTTCCATTCGCACGTTACGAAGTTAAAAAACAACAACAACAACACAAAAGAATGATAACAGTGAGGTCGTGATGTGATCTTCACAGAATGAATTGCATTTCAATGCTCACCAGTGCTCCTAGTAACGATGGTCTACACAGCGGGGGCCATGCAGATAGGGACGTTTTAAAAAGACACTTTGAAACCTTTATTACAGACACGTATTGTGTGACATCGCTACAGCTAGAAACTTTGAATGTGTGTTGTTGTTGATGTTGTAGTCTTGCGCTGTGGGCTAAATCAATGAATATCGACACTTGATGATCAAAGGTGATTGCACCTAAAAAGTCTCCCAGCTTGCAGCTGAAACAATATAAAATAAAAAAAATAAATAAATTTATAGTGTTTTTACTGTTGTTTATTCGCCGAAGAAGGCGTCTTGCCGACACGTTCGTTGGTAAGTTGCGTCCCTTTTCCCCCTGAATTTCCCGTTCTTTGTTTTACTCATTTTCTTTACCTAACCTGATTGCAGCCTCTCAATCCTTATTACTAGTCACACAAAAAAGTATACACCCAATTTGATTCATCGCAATTATCACCTCCGTAGCCCTATCTCCTTCATTAATATTTTCATTGCTTTGGGGTGAGCATCAAAAATTACAGAGATAACTGTATATGTGCAGTGGCGCATCTAGAGTTATGGCAGCACCCCGGGGTGGATGGAACCCGTGAAAACCTTGGATGGCAGCAACTCATCTAAGAGAAGGAAACTCAGAATCAAAATCCAGGAAAAGGTGTTTTAGCGGATACAATGAAAATTCCTATATGCCCCACCCTTTCTCTCCCCTTCCTACGCCACTGTACCTGTGCTGTTATTTAATGTTCACACGTGTGGCAGATTTTTTGAAGTTTAAAAAAAAAAAATACCGGTGTGCCCTTTGCATAGCGAATTAAAAATTTATAGCACATTCATGGGGTCTTAAATTTATTTTCAAAACTTCATTTCCATGTAACTGACGGCAGCTTGTATCAATAGATGCATGATACATGACGTCTCTATGATTATGTAGCTCTATGTTTTTGAAGTATATTTTAAAAAGAACATTTTTTTTTTCCATCTTGTGCGTACACAAATAAATTAGAAGGTTTTTTGACACGTGAACAGGCCACACACAGCTGTCCACGTGAACAGGCCACACACAGCTGTCCACGTGAACAGGCCACACACAGCTGTCCACGTGAACAGGCCACACACAGCTGTCCACGTGAACAGGCCACACACAGCTGTCCACGTGAACAGGCCACATACAGCTGTCCACGTGAGAACCATGGATTTTCAAAATTAGTCCACATACTTGTAGCCATTGATCCACCCATTGTAGCCATTGATCCACCCATTGTAGCCATTGATCCACCCATTGTAGCCATTGATCCACCCATTGTAGCCATTGATCCACCCATTGTAGCCATTGATCCACCCGTGCAGGAGCTCTGTTTGAAATTATATTTATAGAGCTCACACAATTTTTTTTAAAAATTAAACGCACTGCCCCACACACCAAATTATAAAAATGGTTGTATTAATTCAGAAACGTAATTAATTACATCTATCTATCTATTTTCTATATCATCTATCTGTCTGTCGATCTGTCTTTCGGTCTATCATTTGACATCTATCATTTATCTTCTATCTATCTATCAGTCTGTCCGTCCGTCGGTCCATCCATCCATTAATCCTTCCTCCAACTACTTATCTATATATATTATGCCTCTCTATCTATCAGCTAAGAAAGCCTTAACCATTTGCTATTTTGAAAATTAAATTTTCCCTTGTGTAAAATAAATGGGTTTTGATATTCATTGGTAGAATTGTGTAAATTTACTAACATTTTGTTAATGTCATTGATTTTCTTAATTGGTGATATGAGAATATAGCATATATTTTACCCAACTATAACATCATTGGATTTAAAGAAATTTCGATCCACGTAAAATTGTACACACCCTATTTTTATAACCCCCATATAGATGTACCTAAGAAGGTTAATTATTTTTCAACTTTGTTCTGAGGCGTATCGTGTGCAGCCTTGGGCAAATGAAACTATCGTATTCCCCCCACCCCCCCCCCCCAAAAAAAAAACCCACAAAAAAACCCACAAAAAACCCACAAAAAACCCACAAAAAAAACAAAACCCACAGAGTTTTAAAGAAATTAATCAAATCATCAATGGGATTTTAACCCCCTTACCTACGCAAAAACAAATTTTTGCACTTCACATGCTTTGTTCTTATTTGGATGAGTGATAAGTGCATTAGTGAATGCTATTTGGATATGTAATATCCCTGCACTGACGCATTAAACGGCATTTGCGTATTAAAAGTATATTTAACGGGTACGTTTTTCACTACTAGATCAATTTCATAAGAAGTATATTTTTGGAAAGAATACAAGTAAAAACTTATTAAATGTTTAAAAATACAAAGCTAACGTTGTATTTAATTTTAGAAAATTTAAGCAATTTCAAAAGCAATCTATTATATGTATTAATTTTACTTTTAAGAATGGGGAAAAACATTATCAGTTTTGTCACCCATGGTTATAAAATAATTTTTAAAAACTTACAGCTGTGGCTAAAGTAGGCACTCACGTTGTGACGTCATTTACGTATTTATTTAGGTCAAATTAATTTTATTTTTATTTCGCAATATTAACAACGCACTAAAATACGCACTAAGAATAACAGATGTTTGGGTTTTCCCGATAAATGTGATTAAGATGCAACTCTTAGATCACAATATTTTTATTTATAATTTTATTCATAACTTTTACATTCGGATAAAATGCTTAAAATAATTCCTTAGTTGTTACTCTAATTATATTTGTAATTTATAATAATAATACTTAAATTTTTGCTAAAATAAAAGTTGAAATAAAATATATTTCTTGCGCATTTAAATTTTATTCGATATCCGTAAAATAATAGAAAAGAAAACTATTTTTTAGAATCCAAACGTATCAAAATATATTCGGGTTTTTTAGAGTTATGTCAGTATAGCTCATTCTTATATATAATTATATAACTATATATATATAGTCCAAACTATAGGAAAGATTAAAAGTTGCGGCACTGTCACATTGATATTAAGATTAAGGGCATCGAAGGTTCCTAAACGAAAATGAAGATTGGGTTAGTGGAGGAGGCTTTGGGATGCCTTTGAGTCACATGACTTTAGATTAGTGCTATTTCTACACAGTGCAACAGAAGAGATGCCGCGTGGAAATGTATGTGTCCTTGACCTGGTTGTGTTGCCATAAACCATTATTTTTAGTGGTTTCTATAGTGAAATTGTGTTTTATAATTCAAATTATTTATCCGCTTATAGTGCTACCGAAATAAATGAATTTTTAAAACAGAAAAAAATCTGTTTAAAAAAAGGTGTTTGATTTAAGAAACAAAAAAAAAACCCTTTCAAAAAAGTTTGTTTTCTCGTATAAATCGGTTATTTCCATTTTACGTTAAAGCTGTGTCATTATATCTTTACATTATAGGTGTGTCATGATATCTTTATATTATAGGTGTGTCATGATATCTTTACATTATAGGTGTGTCATGATATCTTTACATTATAGGTGTGTAATGATATCTTTACATTATAGGTGTGTCATGATATCTTTTCATTATAGGTGTGTCATTATATCTTTACATTATCGGTGTGTCATTATATCGTTACATTATAGGTGTGTCATGATATCTTTACATTATAGGTGTGTCTTTATATCTTTACATTATAGGTGTGTCATTATATTTTTACATTATAGGTGTGTCATGATATCTTTACATTATATATGTGTCATTATATCTTTACATTATAGGTGTGTCATGATATCTTTACATTATAGGTGTGTCATTAAATCTTTACATTATAGGTGTGTCATGATATCTTTACATTATAGGTGTGTCATTTAATCTTTACATTGTAGGTGTGTCATGATATCTTTACATTATAGGTGTGTCTTTATATGTTTACATTATAGGTGTGTCATGATATCTTTACATTATAGGTGTGTCATGATATCTTTAAATTATAGGTGTGTCATTAAATTTTTACATTATAGATGTGTCATTATACCTTTACATTATAGGTGTGTCAATATATCTTTACATTAAAGCTGTGTCATGATATCTTTACATTATAGGTGTGTCATTAAATCTTTATATTATAGGTGTGTTATTATATCTTTACATTATAGATGTGTCATTATATCTTTACATTATAGGTGTATCATTATATCTTTACATTATAGATGTGTCCTTATATCTTTACATTATCGGTGTGTCATAATATCTTTACATTATAGGTTTCATTATATCTTTACATTATAGGTGTCATAATATCTTTACATTATCGGTGTGTCATTATATCTTTACATTATAGGTGTGTCATGATATCTTTACATTATAGGTGTGTCATTAAATATTTACATTATAGGTGTGTCATTATATCTTTATATTATAGGTGTGTTATTATATCTTTACATTATAGATGTGTCATTATATCTTTACATTATAGGTGTGTCATTATATCTTTACATTATAGGTGTGTCATGATATTTTTACATTATAGATGTGTCATTAAATCTTTACATTATTGGTGTGTCATGATATCTTTACATTATAGGTGTGTCATTTAATCTTTACATTATAGGTGTGTCATGATATCTTTACATTATAGGTGTTTCATTTAATCTTTACATTATAGGTGTGTCATGATATCTTTACATTATAGGTGTTTCATTAAATCTTTACATTATAGGTGTGTCATGATATCTTTACATTATAGGTGTGTCATTAAATCTTTACATTATAGGTGTGTCATTATATCTTTACATTATAGGTGTGTCATTATATCTTTACATTATAGGTGTGTCATGATATCTTTACATTATAGGTGTGTCATTAAATCTTTACATTATAGGTGTGTCATTATATCTTTACATTATAGGTGTGTCCTTATATCTTTACATTAAAGCTGTGTCATGATATCTTTACATTATAGGTGTGTCATTAAATCTTTATATTATAGGTGTGTTATTATATCTTTACATTATAGATGTGTCATTATATCTTTACATTATAGGTGTGTTATTATATGTTTACATTAT